GGGGGGGGGGGTACCTTGGTTGGTGATTGGCTAATGGTTACACAAGCCCAAAAACATTATGACATCATAAAGTGGCCAAAATCTGATCAGCTCATTTTCAGACAGGATTGCATATAAATGGATCAGCACAAAAAGAGAGGGGGTCTTTGTTCCTGAAACGTTCACAGAGGGGACACATATGTATGTATAAAAGACATGAAAAAGTGGATTTTGCACAATAGGTCGCGTTTAATAAAGTTGCTAAGTTGGTGAGCCTTGCGAAATACATATGAGATTTAGTTACATGTCATCATATAACAGCTGCTACAGAGCAAAGGCCCTCTTCACTTGCTATCATCAAGGTAGTTTGCAATGTACCTTTACACAAACTACGGCGGCTCATAAAAACATGTTATTTAGTTCCGCTGCCCATAAAGCAGGATCTGAGGTCGGACAAACTTCACCTGGTTCTTGCGATAGTCCTGCTGAGAATGACGCAGAACTCGATAACACAGGCGGCAGATGTGTCTGAAGGGAGCGTGGCGCTGGTCCGCCAGCTCCTCCAGGCGCAGCATGGGCCCGTCTCCACTGTCTGTGAATGGAGCCTGCAGCAGCTTGAAGATCTACAGGGATAAGGTTGTAATCACACTGAAGTTAGAGAAAGGAGAACATGCTGATACAGATGGAAGGTAGTAGGTAGTAGGTAAGCGGGTATGATGTTAAATCTGCAAATTAAAATGTCCTTAATCTTTAAAGAGTTTCAAATATTACATTAACCATCCTACTGCATTACCTGTTTGAGAATATTCTGTTCCCTCATGAGTTTCTGTCGCTCCCTGTTGGGTTTGTTGACCATTATCTCGAGAACATCCTGTCCGTTGTTGGGAATATCGACAACAAAGAACACCAGATCCTCCAGGAGCTTGGTAACCGCTCTGAATAAACATAGAAAAGAGGGGAACAAGGTGAAAACACACACTTCCCTTTTCAGTTTTCTGTTAGAAATTGACAATGTGACACCACTTTGCTTTTTTACCTCCTCTCATTCTGTGTGATGGTTCCCTTCTCCAGCTTTCCTGCGATAGAGGCCAGCACTTTACTGGCATCGTTGGCAAAGTCAAGATCTCTCACTTCAGCGGGGGAGACGGGCACAATGGCAAAAGCCTCTTTGTCCTCTTTCAGTGAAGAAGTGCCGATCTTAAATAAGAAAAGTAATGCACAATTTTATCTTCAATCAGGGATACAGTATATTCAAAATGTATTTCCCAAATACTGTAGAAAGTAAACCCATAATTAAAACTGCCATCACAAAAAATGAACTTGTATTAAAAATCGAATTCCAAAACACTCCCATAACTACACAACAGGGAAAGAGCTGACGTGCATTATTGATGCCCACTTGATGACTTATCAATCTCATTAACCCAGACAGGGTCTCACCTCAGCACTATACAGTCAGGCTGACTGCAGTTTATTAGAGATATACTGTTGCATATTAGTGCAAATGAGCTGTCACTCACACGCAGCATGACAGGCTTTTCCTCCTCCTTGTCAATTGGTTGGTTGGTGCTGTGAACCCATGTGTTTGTGCAAAGGTGCCTGAGGCGCACGTAGGAGTTCCTGAAAACACATTTCTTATATTATTGATTGATGATTTCCAATTGTTTTGTAGCACAAATCCTAGACACTACATACTGACCCTTGATAAGGTAGTGTTCACAATAAGTAACACACAAGGAACACATAGCAGTATTCTCAACGAGGTGTCTCAGTCTTTGGAGAAGACACATACAGATCGAATAAAGAGCAACAAATGGTGAGGTCTCATGGGCACCTTGTTAAAAAATATATAAATAAATAGTGTCTTCTACAATGGTCAAATGTGCATGAAAACTTGATAAAGTACTCTCTCACTATTGTTAGGCTCTTCAATTTATCAGGTTTATCTTTAACTTAAAAGACCAAACATGTATGGCTTTCATTTATTAGAAGAGAGACTACGATAGGTTACAATATTATCTGTGAGAGCAATAAGTACTAATTGGAATATACCTGTAGTGCATTCCTAAAGACAGAGTAGAACTAGATCAGTCTATCAGGGAGTGCACAAGCCTAATTCAACCCAACTTAAGAGGATAATCACCGGCCTTACAACTATTCCAGTGAAATTCAAAGGAAATTATTTCCAGTAATATGTCAAAGAAACACATTGTTCAACATAATTTGTCACTGATGCGAAATACGTTTATCTTCCCCGCAAACAAGCACAAACACATCTGCTCAAGCACAAGCCAAGATCCTGCCAGCAATCTATTTGCTGCAATTCATTATTCTGGAAATCGGTTTCTGTGTAAGCCCTATGAAGAAGAATTACAGAACAGTACGTCATACACTTTTTTACACACACACACACACACACACACACACACACACACACACACACACACACACACACACACACACACACACACACACACACACACACACACACACACACACACTACAGGTTTTATTGCAAACATATTAACCCTTAGATGCATAAGTGGGTCTTTTTTGACCCGGTGAGGTGGCTTTCTTGAAGTAGCTTTGTAATTACATTTTTTTTATCATCTCATATTCCAGCTATTCCTCAAAAAACATGTTTTGGATATCATGCCATTCAAATTTTTTATTTTAATTTTAAGAAATGTTAGTTTTTGTATTATTACCCCAAGCTTCCATAAATGGGTCAAAAATGACCTGCATGCATTTTCTATGGAATTTCGTTTTTTTCAAAATGTAAAAAAATGTCTAAAATTATAAATAGTGACAAATTAAATGTAAAATATTTCTAGTGTGAACCAAAATATAATACTAAATATTATACAAGTGATTTTACTTAACCAACAGGACAAAAATGGCTTAAAAACACATATTATTCTAATACGGGTCCTTTTTGACCCACTTATGGAAGAGTGTAGGGTCCAGTCACTCGTGCATCTAAGGGTTAAGCTGACTAACTGTACAATGGAAGTCTATAATGTAGCTGCTGTTTGGGTTTCAGTGGAAAGAGTGACACAACAGGGATGGACCGTGCTCTTCTCTGTAACAAAGGTCTGAGCAGGTAAAAAAACACTTCTTTACTGTTACGGCCTTCCTACCTTGGTACCAGTGAGTCCCCCCCTCTCAGGGTGGTAGGGTCAAGCTCAAATATGGAGGAGATGTCATTTCCATCGGGCACAGACACCAGGGTGTACATAACTTTGTCCTGGACATTTCTCAATCGAGCCCGTAACGCTTCCTGCTCCAAGTCCAACTGGAGGGAAGATCAAAACAGAGCATGATCAGAAATAGCTGGTATAACAAAAAATAGTTTTAAAACGACAGAGATTTTCATTTTCAGCAACTGATATCATCTGGCACACTTGTATCAGGATTCTTAAGAGTTAATCAGTGACAGCGTTAAACATTAAAAAGATTTGAAGGATTTCCAATGAACCCGTTTCTCAAAAGAACACATGACATTTCTATTTGATCAAATCATTCTCTAAGCCAAAAATGGTTGCCAGAAAATGATGATCTAAACGCCTTTAATTCATTTCCAGATTCCAGAATTCAATATTTGAACACTGCAAAATATTTGTTGTGGCTTGTAGATGTATGAGAGTTAGGTTGTCTATTCTGGTTTACTTAGTTGAGTCCTGCTTTAGGCTCAGCTCAAATACAAATAGTATCCTTTGGGAGCTATTTGCTTTTGAAAGAGACCCAACCCATACTCAAAGTTAAGTTTTAATGTTTTTGTTTTTGTTTTTAAATGTTATAATGAGGGAATAACCCTCAGGAGCAGAGCAACTTTGAGCAGATGTGAGCAGATGTGAGCAGCTGTGGCAAAGAACTGAAGCACCAAGCAGAAGCAAGCAGTCATGGTGAAAGGCTGCCATCTGCCGGTGACTGAGGTATAATACAACCACAGGCTGCAAAAAGACATGCAGTAGTCTCCAGCAGGAAATGTATTCTACTAAAGTAACTTTACAATATTCATATTTCCCACTTACTGAGGAGCGGGACTCCAGGCACTCCTCTTCATAATCTGGATTCACCTGCAAAAACACAGAGCAGTTCCCAACCTAGAATACCTCCTTATTTTATTGTCAATTCAAAATGTAACTTCAATGTATGTTTCCCTGGTCTTACAGGCCGCTTTACAGTCAAGTTACAATATAATTTGAGCAATGTTAATACCTTCAAACAGCGCAAAAAAAATCCATAAAATATATTGACAGTGTTTGAGGTTGGCTTGTTGTAATGAGTTAAAAAGTGTCTGTGCTTCTCTCACCTCTGCAGCCAGGTAGTGTCCGGTGGCCAGGTGTTTGAACCTGAACAGGCTGTTCCAGTAGCCGGCCCCCCCTCTGCAGGGATCATGCTGCACAACCTGACACCGAAGCACAGAGCAGTCCAATATTAAACCAATGCATGCAATTTATATAAAAGATGTGGTGGACAGATGCTTATTTTATGTTAACCCCTGGCACACAAAGCATTTTGAATTTCCTCACCACACAGTATATACATACCACCATTGGCAAAATCAACTTTAAAAATATTCTTCCTCACCTCTATCTCCCATAGGGCTTTACTGCTTGTTGCTGAGGTAGCTGACTGTCGCCCAGTAGTGCGGAGAAAAACATATTGTTTTTTTCTGTGATCATCACAGGTGAGGAATTTCTCCTGCTCGGCATGAAATAACCGTACCACATCGCCCTGGGGAGGAGGAGAACATGTGTTACTGTCATATTTATTCCTAACTTTAAAACCAAATCATTACAGAAAAAAAAAAGATTTAATGTTGTGTTTCCATATAAAATTTGACAAGATACATTCTTTGTAAGAACAATGCACCAATCCATCTTCATTTAAATCTCAACTCTTCAGAATATCTTTAAACATGTTAATAACCTTGTGTGTTTTATATTTTAGGTGCATTGTTTCTAAAAAAACATGTTTAATTGTAATATCTGTAAAGTGTCTTTGAGTACCTCTCAGCACTCTATAAATAACATGTATTATTATTATATTCCAGAAGTTTCCTAAAATAATTAGATCACTTATATTTTAGAGAGGCCATTTGGTTATACCAGGGGTCTGCAACCCGCGGCTCTTACCTTGAGCTTGGACAAAGATAAGAAGAAAATAAAATGAAAATATTTGTAGGAATATCTATATTTTGTTGCTGGGTTGAAAATGTTTCGTATCTTGTATTTTGAGGTGATAGTGTGACACATACAAGAAAAAATCTAAAATATGCGTCATATCCTGCTACGGTCCCGCGCCAGCGCCTTTTTCTTGCAGGTGAATAACCTGACCCCCGGCTCGCTGATCAAAGAAAATAAAAAGTATCGGAGGAACACAGAGGATTTAATTCTGCGTGGACAGAGTTATATGCTTTCACAGCAAACGATGCTGGCTTACCGG